CACCCGCCCGCCCTCCTCCCCAAACCCAGTGCTCTGTACTTGTGTAGATAAAAAGAGGGCTTTGTCCTGCTGGGTGGTCAAACCATATTGTTTTGGGTGACTTTGCACAGTGTCCCCCTCTCGAAGGCTCATTTTGATCTTGGGACTTGCAGCTTTTCCAATCTCTTTCATTCTTTTTCCCTTAAATGTTTATGTTTATGTCCTGGGTTTGATAGCTGCCTTGTTGTTTAAGGGATGTAGTCTTCTTGGATTTCCTTAAGCCAGGAATTTTCTCTGCTGGTTGTCTTTCTCTGGAAGTTCTGAACATGTGACCTCACTCCTGTTTCTGGGGTGTTTTCTTTAGCTTTTATCTACTCTTGCCATTTTCATAGATTTCATAGACATTAGGGCTGGAAGGGGCCCCAGAGGATCATCAAGTCCAGCCCCTTACCCCAGGGGCAGGAAGTCAGCAGGGATCATAGGATCCCAGCAAGATAAGCATCCAAATGTGTCTTGAAGGCATTCAATGTGGGTGCTTGAACCGCCTCCGGCGGCAGTCTATTCCAAACCTTGGGGGCTCAGACAGTGAAGAAGTTCTTTCTTATGTCCAGCCTGAATCAGTTGCAGTGGAATTTGTGACCGTTCAATCTTGTCATCCCGCAGGGAGCTCTGGTGAACAGATGTTCCCCCAGATCCTGATGAGCACACCTTATAAATTTATAGGTGGCCACCAGATCACCCCTGAGCCTGCGCTTTTCCAGGCTGAAGAGGCCCATGACTCTCAGCCTTTCATCATAAGGTCTGTTTTCCTGACCTCTGATCATGCGCGTGGCTCTTCTCTGCACCCTCTCAAGCTTCTCCACATCTTTTTTGAGTTGTGGAGCCCAAAACTGGATGCAGCACTCCAGCTGTGGCCTCACCAAGGCCAAGTACAAGGGGAGAATGACGTCCTGGGATTTGTTTGAGAAGCAGCTATGGATGCAACCCAGCATTTTGCTCGCTTTACTAGCTGCAGCATCGCACTGAAGGCTTATGTTCATCTTGTGGTCAATCATGACCCCCAAGTCCCTTTCATCTGTAGTGCTAGCCAGCGTAGCACTGCCGAGCCTACAAGCATGCAGCAGGTTTTTCCTCCCAAGGAGGAGAACCTTGCATTTTTCAGTGTTGAACACCATCAGGTTCTCGTCCACCCATTTCCTGAGCTTGTCAAGGACTGCCTGGATCACCCTCCTGTCCTCAGGTGTGGATGCTTTACCCCAGAGTTTGGTGTTGTCGGCAAACTTGACCAGTCCACTTCTGACACCAATGTCCACATTATTGATGAAGATGTTACAACGTCAATCTCTTCCCCCTTGTCCAGATGATAAGTCACCTGGTCATAAAAGGAAATGAGATTGGTCAAGCAAGACCTACCCACAGCAAACCTGTGCTGGGTATCCCTCAGGATATTGCCTTCAGGTAGTCTGTTAAGGATGGCCTCTTTGATAATCTTTTCCAAGACCTTCCCCAGGACAGAGGTCAGGCTGATGGGTCTGTAGTTTACCAGATCTACTTTCCTCCCTTTCTTGAAGATAGGCACCACATTGGCCCTCTTCCAATCATTGGGCACTTCACCAGAGCGCCAAGAGCTCTCAAAGAGCTGTGCCAGAGGCTGAGCTATGATGCTTGCCAGCTCCCTGAGTACCCTGGGGTGTAGCCCATCAGGGCCGGCTGACTTGAAGGTATCCAGCCTGTCAAGGTGTTGCTTCATGAGGTCAGCTTCGATGGAGGGCAGGGAATCTCCCTCACCTGGGCCTCCCTGACCCATAGTGGGCAGGGGCATCCCATGGTCTTTATTTTTGGTCCTCTGCCCCACACTGTACCATCTCTGGCTTCTAACCTTATTCTTTCTTTTGAAGGAATAATATTTTATTGATTTTGTTTTTTGAGAGGTAGCTCCGTCACCTCCAGGTGGATTGTACAGGCTACTACCTTTCAAACCTTTCAAGCTTTCAAGTGCCTTTTTTTTCCTCATTCTCCACTGACATCCTTTGTGATTGACTCTAGGCCCAGACCTCTAGTCCTGTGTTTCCTTTGTTTCAACAAGTTTTGTCCAGGTTCTCTGTTTCCTCTGACTAATGGAGGAGCCATGGGTGGATGGGATCTCTTTATGGATCTCCTCTCAGATAGGTCTTTCACAGGCTAACCCTGTGTAGCATCTTTCAGTGATCTGACTTTTCTCTTGCCCTTGTTTTATTTCTTCATTAGTTGATTTGTATTCCTTCATCTGAGTGGAAGGTTATTGCTGCTTTGTTTTTAAGGCTTTTCAGGGGGGTTTCCTCTGCTCCATAGAAGCCAACACCTATTAACAGGATTGAACTGAATAAAAGATAAAACATTTTAAGCCATTGTTTGATGTAAATTTCACTAAATTGTCAGATTTTTAGGTATATCCAGGGAGGGGAGAAGGGATACAGTGATGCAGTTGCACCCTGCTTTGATTCCTGCTCCATCCAAACTTTAAAACCATTTGTCTGGGAAAGTGCAGCAGCATTTCTATTCAGGTTGCACTGAAGGGGTCTAACTTAAATTGAACAATATAATGCTAGAACCCTAGCATATTAGTAGAGCATCTAGTTTCTCTTTAACTGGAGAAAAATGTGTGTAGTGCTGTGCGTGATGATGTACCACATCCTCTGCTCCCTGCCCCTACCCCCACCTTTTCAAAATCCTAGGTCTGCCCATAGGTCTATGTGTTTCTATGCTGGTCATTTCCAAGAGTATTGGTACCTCAGATACAGTGTCTTTTAAATAATATGATCGAATTTACCTGGATCTTGTGATAGTGCCACCTGCCCATAGAAGAAGACAAGTATTGCATAGCTTGAGAGGATAATATGACTGTGGTACAGCAGGAAGAAGTAGTAATGGACTTTGGGAACATTAAGCTCATGACCCCTTCCACTTTAGACCTGTTGATATAAATGTACACAGTTCCTCAAATAAACCCTATACAAAGACTGACGCAAAGCTTTCATTTTTGTGGTGATATGGTATTGAAGGGGACTATTTAATTTCCTGTCATCTTACCTCTTGGAATCATTTCAGTTCTGTTTCAAGGACATTCCTGCCTGGGAAAAGATTACTGAAAAGAGTTTTCTTGTCTCTTTTGATCTCTCTCCTCCTCTGAGGAATGTGGGTATTTACAACATGGCTGGGAGGGAGCTGGGCTTGCCTAGGCTTGTCCTGCCTAGTCTCTCCCCATTTGTTCTTCCTCTTGCGGGCAGCATTAATAACTAGGATTTCTGAGCAGCTGAAGCTTCTGAGTCAGCGATGAAACTTTCCAGTGACTAGCAAATGGGATAATACATAGGTGGAGGGAAAGACTGCTTGTATCTCCCCTGTTCAGGGAATGTAGAGACCAGCAAAGCCTCTAGTACAACGCAGGATATCATCTTGCTTCAGGGCTTTACTGAAGCAGAGAAATACCAGGGTCCATCCCAGCTAATCCTCTTGCCTGTCCATCTAGCTCAGGGGTCAGCAACCTTTTTAGGCAGGGTGCCAAAAACACGCATCACCTTGACTTGTAAGATGTTGGAGTGCCAGGGGTGGATGACGAGGGAGCCACGAGAGACCACATCCTTGTTGTGACAGGGCAGCCCTGGCCCCTTCCCCACTGCCCATCCCATGGCACGTGTGCCAAGCAAAATGCCTTCGCGTGCCACATTCTGGCACCCATGCCAGGGGTTGCCTACCCCTGATCTGGCTCATCTCAGGCATAACTCTTGTGTCCAAGGCTGCTCAAGACTGGGGCAGACGGACACCAATTATGGCTCAATAACAGATGTAGGATCGCCTGTGCTGGTGGAGTTTCCTAATGCAGGGGAGGGGGCATTGTGCCAATGTTGCTGGCTAGGGTGATGAGGATTAATCAGAAACAGAAGTTGCAATTAACCAGCTCCATATGCTCCCCAGTACAACACAGTGGGCGCATCTACATGTTCATTACTGCACTTTAGGTAATGGACGTTAAATCTAGTCCCTCCATTGTGAAGTACTAGAAAAATGCACATTAGCTTATTTTAATGCTCATTTGCAAAAGAGCACAGGGCTTTTTTACATGTGCAAGTGCCGCGGCTCTGGTCTCTTTGAAAAGTGCCCAGTTTTGCGACGCATACAGTTGTATAAGCGGCAAAAGCATTGGTGTGAAAAAAATGGCAGCGGTGAGCTTTTAAATTAAAACACCACAGAGGTGCTTTAGCTCAAAAGTGCACTGCTGCCATTTTCTGCTCACTGACGTGCATTGTGCCACTTATGCAACTGCACGCGGTGCGGTGCAGTGCAGTGCACGTCAGCTCTTGTGCAGAGCAGACCCATTTAATTGAATCTGCTCTGAAGTGGCGGATCTCCAGTGCATCACGGGACAATGGCTTTAGGTATGTGTATAATGTGTATAAATGCCCACAGTTTTTTGTGATGCTTCAATGAGCACAGACTAATGCACGTTAAAGCATACGTGTAGATGCACCCAGTGAGGTACTCTTTGGAATTCTGCATGTCTCAGTCGCATTAACCCTGGACTGTAGGATACACTATTTCTTAAGGTACCACCCAGGACAGAGGTTTAGTACCTATCTTATCTCTTGTCTCCCATCAGTACACTTTTTAATCCATTTGCTCTGTTTCAGTGTTTGTTAGGCAGGCCTTTCATCAGATGTTTTTTCTTTTTCCCTGTGGGCTCATATTTGCTGCCAAGTGGTGGTCTTCTTCCTGTAATGTCCCTCCTTTTTTTTTTAAACATGTTTCTACTTAACAAAAAACAGGCCTGTGAAATGAATTAAACATAAACATCCCACTTACGTTGAGCAATGGAAAAACTGAATGGCGTGTCTCTGTAAATTTGTACTCCAAACACAACTAATCTTTTGCTTTAAGGCAATCTGATTATTAGTATATCTAAAATAGTGGGTCCCTTGATCATATCAGGAAATACCATTTGCTTTATTTAATTCACATTTGCTTTGTATAAAACTTCCTTTGTCTGGAGCCAGTTTAAATATTACCTCTGATTAAATCAGTCTGAAGATAAAACATATCAAGGCAAAATTTAGGCCGCTGCACCTTTCTCCTCTACACTTTATCGCTTTCTGCTACCTGATAATTTATTAAAGAGGAACTGCTGCGATAAGTTCTAGTACCTCCCTGCCACTTTTAATAGCTCTAATATCAGGTATAATTTGAATGTTTGTCACCAGGAGTTGCCAAGGTTGCTGTTTGCCAACAGGAAACTTAGTCTGCTAGCCCTGTGCCAGATTATAAAAATCACCTTCAATTCCTATTGGCATCTCACCAGGTCTTCATGGTGCTGAGCCATTTTTGCACCATGTTCTCAGAACATGGTATCCCCTTCTCTCCTAGGACTGTTGCTGGGAGGAACAATATTGGCAGGGATCAGACAAGGTGTTTTTGGTGCATCTGCATCACCTTTGTAGAACTGGCTCAGACTCCAAGTAGAGCATAGCAGGGAGTGGATAGGAGCACAGTGCTAGCCCCTGATTTCCTGGAGTCTGTGTGGCTCCCCGGTCATCCTTTTAGATTGAGCACCCAGCCCTCCATTCTCAAACTCTTCTCTCCACCAGGATGACTGAAGGGTGATGCAAGGGAAGCCTCCTTAAGAATTATTCCCCTCAACTACCTCCTTCAGACTCCACTGCATACAGGACAATTTGCATTAAATATTGAGTTCTCGTTTAGGCAAAGCTTCCACTGAATTTTAATGTAAATCTTGATTGTGTAAGAATTTCAGGACTTCTTCCAGAGGGTTAAGTCATTGGGCCTGAGCTAATTGAAGCCACCCCGTGATGACAAAGTCTGTATCTAAATGGCAAACTCACCATGATTAACAGTGACACCTCAAAATGCCATTCTGCTCAATGTGTGCTGTTTTCTAGCCAGAAGCCACATGACCATATCCATGCAGTAGTGGGGAGGTGGTAACTGTCACTCCTCACTGCTAATTACTTTGCCCTTCACACCATGGGGACACAGCTCTAGTGCATCTGGTTGGGGAGGTACAGTAAGCTTGCAGTCAAGACATGACCAAGGCTTTCATGACATGGTTCTGGAAATGTAACTTGTTTTAAAGTGCACGTATGTGTGGCTTATTCACACTTCAATGACACCATGCCTCTGAAAAGCTGGGTTGAAGTCCCTTCTTTTCTACCACCTTTGTGTGTGACCTGGGGCAAGTCATTTAGCTTTTCTGCACTTCATTTCTATGATTCCTTATACTGGAGGGGTGTTATGAGTATAAATATATTAAAGTTATACATTAAAGGAGCTTGGCTACTCCAATAATGGGCCAAGTACCTAAGGCAGAAAAATAGCACAGGGATTTTGGAGAAGAATAGTTTTCTTGAAAGTATTTAGATGGGATCAGCTAGGGTGATCTTGTGACATGAGTAAGGCAAAGTCAGGCTTCATGAGACCTTCCCCTTTTTTCGTGGTATCCTTTTATTTCCTTTCTTTTGCCTCTGGTTCTTGCATCCACTTGGCAGTGCTCCAGATTCTAAATTTTCAGATGCATCCATATTTGGCCAAAGAGGCAGATCTCATTCAGTTTTCTCATTCAGAAAAGAAAACCTGTATTTGGGCTAGTGAATGTGTACACAAAGAAGTGTGCAGTCACTTGATCTGTGTGTTTGCAATTTAGCAGGTACACCTGTTGCCACCTGTATTTGGAAGAAAGAAAGTGCCTTAAGAATAGCCGTGACCTGAGAATTTCCAGAAGATCACCCTTCAAAAGACCCAATCTGTCACCATCATCCTGGCCTAACATTTAAGAATATTGTCCAATAATCTCTGATTGGGTTGCTTTGAATAGTTTCTGTGTCTACCCTTGTAAAATGTAACTGCTCCCAAAGATGACAGACATGCTGCAAACACATTTGCTTTGGAATCATATTTCTTTGATATACCAGATGGACTGTAATGTAAGGCTCCGAGGTATATCAAAATCCAGCTGCACTGTTGGCCAGTGCTTCTAATTATGAGTTTTACAGAAATACATATATCAAGGCATTCCAGACCGTGTTGTGCAGAGACAGGTTGGTCACACAGTACTCACCTTTGCTTTCTCCCTGTTGTTAAACTGCACTCCAAATAATATAGTAAATACCCTGCTATTTGTTTGTCCATGCAGAGAATTGCATATGCCACAGGAGCACTTGATCCTGGTTGGGATGGAAGGTTGCTCATCAGAATGTGAATGGGGAGGGGGTGATCCCTGATGAGCATTTGTGTAATAATGCAACATAATGTAGTGGCCATTCTCATGGATGGTCTCAAGAGAGGAATTATGACTGAACAGGTTATAGAAATGGAAAAGACTGTATCCTAGAGATGAGGCCCTTTACTGAGAGTTACAATTGCTCAATTTAGTTTAGGGAAAACTTGAAGTGCTGCTGCCAACACAGTGTCAGGTCACTGGGCAAACCAAAGCCTATGGAAGTATTGAGATCCACTTAGAAACACAATAATATGAGCAGAAAAGTCAGTGTTCACCTTTGGTAGGTGTGGTCTACTCAAAATCTCTTTCCAGCTATCCTCTGAAAAAACGATAAGGTCACTGTATACATTAAGATAAACATTTCCTTGATTTACACCCAAGTCTATCTTGTACTGTGGAAATAAAACGCTCAAAGGACAATAGTCTGTTTGAAGTCTCAGCTGTTCATTGATCAGTGTTTATGCTGCCACCAGAAGAAAAAGTAACAGTGAAGAGCCAGTTGATCAGATTCACAGATATCAAATGCAGAGCAAACCACATTTGAAATGTATTTAATGTAAAGCAACCATACTCATCATGATATCAAGCAAGCAAAATACCTTTATCAGAGGAGCTCTGTATAAATAGTAACAGAAAGGCTACTTGTGGCTGGAACAGAAGGAGCCTGTCCAAGCAGGCAAACTGTACGCCTTAATTAATGGTTTCGCCCTTCTGTTTATTTAAATTAAGTGACTCATTCCTATGTAGATACCTGCTTCTGAGGTAAAATTGTTCATGGAATTGGATTAGTTGCTTAAAACATCTCTGACTATATCTTTACTGAAAGAACCCATGTTATTTATAGCTTGATTGCACCCTTATTGCAAAATTCTAGTTGAAACAAGGCACTGGAGTTCTTATCTTGCTTAGCTAGTTAAGACTAACCTGAGGTTAGGTGCACAGGATTGACTTCAGCTAGTTAAATCAAGGCAAAAAACAACTTGTACTTTGTTTCCACTAGGAATTCACATTTAGAAAGCGTAGTATACTTTTTCCCAGCCAAGATATGGCCTAAACATTTCATTCGCTTGAGTGGAGTCCTGGTCAAGACTGAATTCAGATTTCAGACAGTGAAACCACTGCCTGACCCTATTTACGTTATTAGGCTTGAGGTCTAGAGTTGAGGGCAGCACCTGGCCATAAGAACATAGATAGTGAATTAGAGTGGTGATCCAGCAAAAATGGCCTGTGTCAGATATGGTTCAAGAAGCCCTGCAGGAGGTAGATGAGATGGTTCAGATGGGTAAAAAATCACAAACTCGGCTGGCAGACAATTTGCATCTCATCCAAGCCACTGTGGTGACCTGGTTCCTGTTCAGTAATGACCATAGTCCAAACT